CAAAGAATTCCATGAATATTTTATATTTCATAATATCTGCAGAAATTTGGTATTCTTGCAGTTGGACAAATTTTTAATTCTACACCCTCACCTCCTTCTAGTCCACACATATTAGATTGCAATTTGTTTAATGAATGCCACCACCACAACCAAGGGGCTAATGCAGTTTTGTTGTATCCTGTGTGAAGGTTAAAAGAGGCACAAGTTATGTGGGCTGTATAAACCTATATTAAATATTTGCAATGGCACTCTCTCTTCAGGGCAAATCTCTGATTCTGAGAAGTAAATTAATTGGAAGTCAGTATAGTTATTGGTATGGGGAAGAGTAGCAGCTATTTTGGGGTGGGTGGGTGATGAAGAGACAGGAAAATATCCAGCAAATTAGAATGGAATATTTTATGCATCTGGAGGCATGAATTAAGAAGAAAATATTAACTTGTCTCCTGTACATATCTCCAATTACTGTCTTGAGTGATAAGTACTTGGGCTATGAAAAGGGTTAGTTTGTGGTGAAGAGTATAGACCAAAACGAAATAGTTTGAAAACCATGAGAGATTTGTTGTTTCAGGAAAGTAAATTTTGCTTAAAGTCAACATGTATTTTTCATTCACTAAATACTAAAATGCACCCTGTGGCATGTGCTGGGCTTACTGTGCTGGTATCCAAGTTAGACAAGGAAAGAGGGATAGACAGAAAACATCTTGAGGAGGTGGTTTCTGTGCTGAGATGGGGATAGTCTAAGTAGGCAAAAGGAGGACATCCAAAGTCCAAGGATAAACTGGAGTAAAAGTATTGAGTTTGGAATTAACATTGTTGACAAGCATTTGCCTGAATATATCTCCAGATACATTGAAACATAAAGAAATGCCAAGGTAGTAAGATGCCAGATTTATTAAGAAATGACTAAACGAAGTTGAGTATATGGGCTTAGAGTTGGAAAGGCATTAAGTGCCACCCTGTGGGCCTAAGCTTGTCTTTGGCTGGAACATAAAAACAACATAAAGTATTGACCAGAAAATATAGTGTAGACCCTTGAGGGCAGGAAATGAAAGCACCAATTGGAATACTTTGAGAACAGCACAAAGAAGAGCATAGGTAATATTAATTCTTAAATTTTACCACATGCTGAATGTGCCATCTGAGACTACATCATGTGACCTTAATGATTTCAAGGATGACATATTAGAGACCATCATCCCTGAGCCGGTTCCTGCATTTATCTCCTGTTCCAACCTTTCTTAACTTAACACTTTTCATACTTTCCAGTATGAACCAGAAACCACTTAGTACTTTTCCCTCTCTCCATGTTTTAGTCTTTTTCCAAATTCTTCCATTTTCTCTTCTTCCTTACAAGAAAATATTATAATTTACTCCCATATTGTTCCATCAAATGATCATATGAAACAAATATCTCTTTTTTTCTTTAAATGGCAACTTAGTCTCCCGTTTAATTCTTTACTATATTTAAAAGAAATAAGGATAATACAGGTGCACATCTATGTTTACTGTTCAAATAAGAAAATTGCATATATTTGTTGACATTTGCCAACATCGATTTTAATCTTTGTTATCCTGCATAATCTTGTAGTCCTCTGGTAGATCAGTTATAATTAGGATGACGTTCATAAACTGAAGATGGCTGATGAATTGGCCTTGAAAAAGAGGTAGCTGATGTATCAGCTATCACTGGCACTGGAAAGCGTGGGTTGATCCCTGGTTGAAGTTTAGGAAAATGACCTTCATTGGCAGATATGTTGTGATATCTATTTGGAAAAGTAGAAGGCTCCACCATCAGTCCAAAATAATTGCTCTGTATTGGAAAGAAGATACTGTACTGAGAAGTACTAACTTTAGTTGTAATGGAGTTCACAACACGGCCATTTATTTCAAGTAGCTGCTTTGAGAATGCCCGTGGACAGTGGTCAATTGATTTAAAATAAACCGTTGATCCACTGAAGATTTTTCTGGTGGTCTAACAGATCTTTATGATGGAGGAGAAAAATCACCTCTGATCGGGGTAGTTGTATCACCAATTATGTGGCTAGTAGAGGGCTTTCTAATTAGAGGCATGTTTAAATTTGCAGAAGGTAAAAATGCACTTTCTCCACTAGTGTCAGCCACAAAACCAGAATTAAAATTATCCATATTACCCCCTGCTTTAAAGTGCTTCTTGTTGAAATCTTCAGCCAATGAAGGCACCAGAGAGGAATTTTTAATCCCAACTCTTCTTTTTATTCTCACTAAAATCTGGGGAAAGCCTCATTTAAAATTTGGATTATGATAGACATGCAGCTACAACCAAAGGAGAAATAATTTAGTAATATTTTAAACCAAAACACAAGACTAGAATAAGCCTAACGTATAAAACCTCAGATATCACGTTCACTATGCAAAGATAATATCATCAAAATATGAACATTGCTGATGATATTTTGAAGTTTCTTATTTGGAAACTACACATTTTAATAGAATAATCATCAAATTTAAGATGTTAGCAATTGCAGTAATGGTGAATGCCACTTCTTAAAAGCAGCCTTAATACCTTTATTAAGATTTCTTGAAAGATTCATTGTTGCAAGCAAATTTTCTCATAATATTGACTACTTAAGGCACTGTCCTCATTTTTTAGAAAAAATAAAGGATTTTAGCCTTAGTAGTTTTATAAAATTTTCAAAATCTAGCTTTACGTTTATATTACCATTGATTGATACACAAAATAAAATTTTATATATAAGTTACCAAGTGGTAACTAAAATTTCTGAATACCTTTCTTTCAACAGAGACTTCTTTTTCTTCTGCCAGAAAGTCAGCTAGACAAGCAGATCTTTGAAAATTCTGCCACATTTTCCTAAACCCATAAAAGTTAAGCTGTCTAAGTAAACTTTTCATACTTCCAGTTTCAAGTATTCTGAAAGGGGCCTTCCTTTCCAAAACTTCCTTCTTAAAGACATCTTCATCAATCACTATGGAAAATCCATTATCACCCCACCAGATGGATTTAAATTGGTCACTCCCAGCCATTTTCCAGAGTTTTCTAAGAAATGTCAGAACGAAAATCTTTATCTTCTTCTGGTTCAGAGACACAATGTGTGTAACATGGTCTTTTTATCAAGGATTCTGCAGACAAAGTCTGAAAAGCAATTTCTTCAATCATAGACCTCAAGTCCAATTGCCCAGAGAATGTATGATCACACAGTAGATATCTACCAGAGTTTCCTGAATCCGTTGGTCCACTTTATGAGACACATCTTGAATTTCTGAAGAAACATGTGCCATCTCAAATAACTTTTCTACAGCTACTTTTAGAATCTGCATGATTTTGAACACTGCAGCTTCAAATGCTGCTCTGGCAGGCCTGCACATATAAACTCCTAGGCCTTCACAATGGTTCTCAACTTGAGTAGCTGTGACATCACAAAACGATTGGTCTCCCAGCAACTCAACTGTAACATTCAGCCAGTGTTTACTTCTCATTCATCCAGGTAAATTGAAACATAAAGATGCTTATTTTATAGTGAGATCTCCAAATAGTATCCCATCAAAATCTTTTTAAATAATTTAAATTTGGGGTCTATGAAATAAAACCAATCTCCATTCTTTTGAACAGATATGTATACCAGATTTGTGAACAGAGAATAAAAAATGCACAAAAAATATAAATAATTTTAAAGTTTTGAAATTTAAAGTGAAAATTTGTAAAACCTGTACAGAAAATATATATCTATTTCAATATCAGTTGTAATTAAAGTGATACATAATTTGATATTGAAATGGAAGTAGGTATTTATCTGTGTAATTTGTAATAAGTAGCTCTATATTCAGAATATGAGCAGAAAAAATATCAGTTCATTTGTTTTGTATATAAATAATAGGTAAATAATTATGAAATAATATTAGATAAAAATTATGAATCAAATTGAAGAAATCCCTAGGGGTGGAAATTTTGTTTTAAATTGTAATTCAGTTCTATAAGTAAAGCAAATGTAATTTAATATTCTACTTTTAAATTACAAAAGAGAAAATCTTATTGTATATTTACCAATGTTTATTTTTGCCATTCTTTCATTCAGAGGTTTTTCAGTCCCTAGAAGGAATAAGATTTCTTGTTATCTTTATAATCCATTCCCTTGTGGCTTCTGTTAAGTGTTCCAAAATGATGTTGATAATTACACTTATGCACATGATCCTGGGTTCAATAAGCAGTGCCTTCATTAAAGGGCACACAAACAATCAAAAAACAAAGAAATAACACTATATGAGTGTTGGGGTGGAAAAGACCTAGTAATGCATTTTAGGAAGCAATATGTATCTCAGTCCTGAAACAGTTGTTGTTGGAAGTAGTATATGGCATTTTAAGGCAAGTGATTTGTTCACTAATTGTAAATAATAGCTTCGTTGTGTATCAGTAAACCGTAGAAACTCCAGTTCAACCAAAAGTTATATTCTTTATTTAGAAATAAATTACATTATACATAAGCCAAATTCAAAATATTTATAAATAAATAAATGTACACTTAAGGTACAGTGTAAATTTTTCTTTCAGTATGTGTACATTCCATTCTAAATAAATATTAGCAACCTGAATTCATTGCATATTATATGTATTATAAACCATAGTTAAGTAGGATTTATCCTGATTCATAAATATTACTTATCATATGCAAATAAATATATGTGATACAATCCCTAAAAAAGAAGAGAATTCAAAAACAAAATTCTCAAAAAATGTAGGAAAATTATTCACAGATCCCATCTTTACTATTTTATAAAAATATTCTTAACAAATTCACTTTAAATAGAATGTAACTAAACATAAAAAAAGCCATATATGAAAAACCCATGACTATCATCAAGTTCGATGTTAAAATACAGGAAGGTTTTCCTCTGGTCCAGTTATAAGAAAAGGTAGCTCATACTCACAAATACTAAATTATACTACTTGAAGACCTAGCCAGAACTACTAGTCAAGAAAAAATATGAAACGCATCCAACATGTAAAAAAGCAGTAAAATTTTGACAGATGACAAAATTATGCATAGATAGAAAACTCCATATACTACTCCAGTGACTGTTACAAATAATGAACACAGTTAGTAAACTTGCAGAGTACAAAATCAATATACAAATATCCATTGCATTTTTATATAGTAACAGCAAATTATCAGAAAGAGAAATTAGGAATATAATTGTGTGTATATTTATACCACAAAGAAGCAAATTATCAGAAAGAGAAATTAGGAATATAATTGTGTGTATATTTATACCACAAAGAATAAACTAGGAATACATTTGATAAGTGAAATAAAAGATCTAAATATAGATCTATAAACTACAGGTGCAAGAACTATAAGTTAACAAAATAAATAGAAAGATATTCTCTGCTTATGGATTGTATACAATGTGAGGAACTATTCTAATCTATCTTTTAAATGTTCAATCTCCCCTGCACTACTTATTGAGGAGAATGTCTATTCTTCATTTTATACTCTTGCTTCCTTTATCATGGGTTAATTGATCATAGGTGTGAGGGATTATATCTGATTTCTCTATTCTCTTCTATTGATTGGTGTCTGTTTTTGAGCCTGTATCATGTTGTTTAAACTACTAAATCTTTGTTGGACTCTTTAACATCAGAGAACTTTACAATATTAGATTTAATACACGTTTTCAAGATTAGTTTGGCAACTCATGATCTATGTGGTTACATATAAATTTTGAAATTATCTGTTCTATTAAATGGAAAAATCTCATGGGTACTTTGACATGAATCACACTAAATGTAGACTGCTTTGGGTAGTATGGTTGTTTCAACCACATTGTTTCACATCATTAACATAAGAGATCTTTTCATTTCTTTGGATTAGTTTAATATCTTTCATCAATGTTTTCTATTTTTTAACGTATAAGTTTTCTCCATATTTGCTAACTTCATTTATATATAATCTATTCATATATATATATATTTATATAAATTGTATTTGTAAACATGTTTCCTACACAAATACAACAGGCAGAAGGCAGTGGCAAGACATATTCAAAATCCTGAATGAAAGAGACCTGACATGAAGATAATTTATCAAGCAAGACTATCCTTCAGAATAGAAGGAAAGTTAAATAACTTCCACGAAAGCAAATACTTAAAGAATTTAGCAACAGAAAAAGAAATAATGAAAGATCTACTCTGAAACAAAAAGCAGGATGCTATAGAAAGGAGAAAGGCATAATTAGAAAGGCAATAGCTACAATGTCTTCCAATAGAATAAACATGATGTTGTAAAACAGGACATCATAATTTTTACAGGTCAGAGAGTGAAACAGGACAATAAAGAGAATTTTCTTCTTGTTTCTGTTCTCTATAGGAGGGGTTAGAATTTGTATTCCTATCAGTTAAAACAAAAAGTTATAGTAATGAGTCAATATACATACAAAACAGGATAACCATAAGTCAAAATCTTACAATGAAGTCACAAAGCCAAAAAGAAACCAAGATAATAACAGAAAACTTATCAAGCCACAAAAAGACAAAAAATGAACAAAAAGGAAGAACCAAATGAACTGGGAAATGAAGTTTAAAATGGAAATAAACACCAGTCTATCAATAATTACCAAAATTGTTAATGGAATTAGTGCTTCAATTAAAAGATATATATTGTCAGATGGGATAATATAACAAAATCCTACATTATGAAGCATAGAAGAGACTCACTTTAGTAAGAGGAACACACATTAATTGAAAGTCAGAAGATGGAAAAGTATATTCCATGCAAATGACATGACAAGAAAGCAGAACTAGCAGTACTGACTTCTCACAAAATAGACTTTACAATAAAGGCCATAGAGAAAGATAGACATGGACATGATATAATGATTAAAGGAGCAATAATAATTGAGGGTGTTAAACTCATTAAGATATATGCACTCAATATAGGAGCACCTAAATGCATAAAGCAAATACTAATTGATAAAAATGGAGAAATGGATGGGAACACAATCACAGTAGGAGACTATAACTATCCATTACCATCACTAGACTGGTCTTTCAGACAAAAAATTTATATGGGAACAAAGATACAAAAGATATGATAAAATAATTGGAGTTAGTTCATATTTTCAAAACAGTACCCCTCCCTCAACATAATATACATTCTTTTCCAGTTCACATAGAATATTTTCTAGGAAAGATTATGTACTCAGGCACAGAAGAAGCATCAACAAATTTAAGAAGATAAAAATTATTTCAAGCACCTTTTCTGAGTATAATACCATGAAACTAGAAATCCTACACAGAAAAATAGGGACAAAAAATGACAGCATGTAAATTAAACACCATGGTACAATAACAAGTGGGGGAGGTGAAGAAGTAATAGGAGAAATTAAAAAATATCCTGAGAAACATGTCAAAACACTATACAAAGTCTATGGAATACAGTTAAAGCAGGCTTAAGAGGGAAGTATATAGTGGCAGGGCCCTCCTCATAGTAGAAGAGCAATTTCAAATAAATAATCTAATATTCTATGTAAACTAATCATGAAAAGAAGAGCAAACAAAACCAAAAGTCAGCAGAAAGAGAGAAATAAGAAAGATCAAGGAAGAAACTATTGAAATACACATTAAAAAATAGAAAAAAATCAATCAAATTATTTTTTGAAAGAGTAAAAGTAATTGACAAAACACTGGACAGCCTCACCAACAAGAAAAGGGAGAGAACACAAAAAATATATGAAATGAAAATGGAGAAAATAAAAAGAGAAAAACAAATTTGCATAATATCATAAGTGAATGCCATGAGCAACTGTATGGAAACATACTGGATAACCAGGAAGAAATGAAGACGATTTTGGAAACATTCAGACCACCAATATTACATCAAGAACAAATTAACCATTTGAAAAGACAAATCACCATAAATGGAATAGAATTATCAAAAAAATAAAAAAATTCTTCAAACAA